AAAGACCCCCACTTGGGTTACGCTGCATCTTGCTGGGTAATGAACTTGGAGTAACTTTCCCTGGGATCTAATCTTAAGTCTTTGCTGATGTACCAAAAAAAAAAATATTATTGTAAAATATTGTCCTAAATTCCTTCGACTATATGTTGCGAACCACCTAGAGAGATAAATACTGAGACAAATTTACGAATTTCTGATCTGATTCTAGGAAGTTCTAATTGCAATTTTGAGATAGGATCGAATAGGAAAATCCCAACTGAAGTCCCAATTAAAGTACGATAATCGGAATTAATGCAATCCGGCGGCCGTCGCAAGATTCTTCGGACCGATTTGGGGAGCTCAAACTGATGGAGGGTCGCCGGAGTGCAAGTAGATCGGAAAAGGTGAGTTATTCGCAATAAGTACGGAACGCGAGGGAGCAGCTTCCAAACTTGCTGTTTGGGAGGGGGAGACATTTCTCCATCGCCGATCTCCAGGATTTACACACGGTACTGAAACGAACGCAGCTGAATAGATCCAAATGGCATGTTATTAGACCTAAAATGTCTTTTTCGAGTTGATTTCAACGCGAAGGAGCACCGATTCTGATCTGACCGTCGTCGGAGGTGACTCTCCCGCGAAATCGGAACCACGAAATGATTTTGCGTTCGTCTTCTTCGTTTGGAATTTACGACACCATCCGTCCCGAGATTGGTGAATATTTTTTTTTATTAATTTATCTGTATTTGATAATCACATTGGATATTAATTAATTTAAAATCAAACAATCTTATATTTTTTTTCATTCAAAATACTCGAATTTAAAATATTATTTAAAAAGAGTTGAGTTTTTCTCACGAGAACTGACAAATCGTCAGTGCAATTGATCCATTTGCTTTAATATAAATAGCATCCCAATCTAAAGGGTGGGGTTGGCCCATATGGCAACCTAAGAGAGGGGTGACTTGGGTCTTAAAAAACCTTATACAATTGAATAAAACAATAATTAAGCACAAATAATTAATAAGTTATTGTAAATTAATTGCAAAAATTAAAAGAATGGAATAAAAAATATCAAACGTTTTGATTTATCCTGGTTTGTCACTCTCTTTGGTGCCTATGTTCAGTTCTCGAGTTTCTTATACTTAAGATTTAATCCACTAACATTAGCTTAACAGTTGCTAATGAAACCGATTACAATAGTTTGCTGGTGCTATCAACCGTCTAAATCCCTTGTCATAAATCTCTCAACCCGTCTTATACCTTAATAAGGATGGATTTTTAGATTTAGGGCTTATTTGGTACAGCGGATAGCGAATAGCGGATAGC